CTGCCTTTTATTTATGGGTTTGTCTAAAAACAGAATACCCTAGAATCCAGTGGTTGAAAATCTCCTGTTCCTCATTGAGTTGCTATAACTTGGGGGTAGATACCACCATTTTCAGACATACCCAAATATAATATATCCCATGAAATATTCCCATCAAACATCCACGTGAAATACTCCAAATTTCGAGGAGTTTTTGTGAGTTACATTTTTTGTAGACCAACATCTTCAAAACCCTTTTCCATTCCGCTATATTAACCACTATATACACATATAACCAATTTATAGCTATATATACTGGTTGATTAATAGGTGTCCCAGTTCATGGGTGATGATACTCCCCAAATATATATATATATATATATATGGGGGTTGTCCTAAATTACTGTTCCCACAAAGGCCTCTTGGGGGTTCCATAAACAGTGGTATCCCAATAGCTGGTTGGTTTATAATGGAAAAATCCTACTAAAATGGATGAGAACTGGGGGTAGCCCTATTGATAAATAGAGGATGATACAATCCCCTCCAATCATCAACCATCAAGTAGCAACTACATAGATCGTTTATTTGGCAAAAAGCCTTTGAAAAAATAGCAACGATGGCTAGCTCCCATGAAAAATAGTCATTTTGTCATGTTTTCCCATGAAAATCCCATTCAACACGCGTAAACACTCGTAAATCCCATGAAAATCCCATGTTTTCCATACTGAATTCATCGCCTGGCCTTCATGGGCCGCAGTAGCCTGGGTGTCTCTGGCGCATCTGACCTGGCGAAAATAAGGGGGGCCATGGCACATCATGGCACCATGGCTTTCGAAACCAAACAATGGTCTAGTCTACCCTCTGGTAATTTTCCCATTAAAAATTGTGTTTTTCCATAGTTATGTGACATTTTACCAGAGGGTAATGTTGGATGAAACAATGGTACCCCCATGACAAAACGGAAACCTCCAGTCATGGCTGGTCAAATTTCAAGGCCCAAAAAACTCAGGGGACCACCCAATGTGTCCTGGTTATGGGTCGAAAGCCTGGTACCCGGATGGTACCCGGATGAAAAGCTGGTGAACGGATGGTTATTCTCCCAGTATGGCATATGGTAGTGTCATAGAGTCATAGGTTTTGATCCCCATATCGATTGATATGACTTCATATCCATTGATTTTGGTCTACAGTATTATTTCATTGTATAATGTCGGATGAATATTGGATTGATGTTAGATGAATGTTGATCAACGGACTGGTTGATTGATGAAAATCTACAGGAAACGAAATGTTTCGTTGAACCCGTTACTGGTTGATGGTGGGCATTCCGTTGTGAGCCTTTCCAATTTTCCAACCGGTGTCATGAAAAGTCATGAATAGAGGATGACCCCGCCGGGGTGGATTACCAGAGGGTTCCACCAAATTTCATGGGTGATTTCGACAAGAAATCACCTAAAAAACCAACTCCAACCGGAAATGTTCATGGTTGTTTCATGATAGCTTTCACAGTCCGATAATATCACAACTGGTTGGAACTCGCGAAACAATGCGAGTTCGAATTCTGCTTGGTTTGGCTTGCAGGTATTGGTGACTACATAAACCAGAATCGCTTGGGAATTGGGTCATGAACCAATTCATAAGTGCCTATTAAAGCCCGAAGTGGGGGTAGAAATCCCTGATCTGGATGTGTCAACTCCGATTTTGACCCAGCAGAATCAAATGCCCAGGCAGTGCCAGGAAGCTAAGAAAGAGCCTGGATGCTAAGCAACATTCATTCCACTCATCCTCAGTGTTTCTGTGTTTTTTCTATCATAATGTAATGATTTGGGTTTGTCTGAAAATAGTGTACCCCTAAACCCAATGGTTAATGATCATTATCCCTACTAAATGGCTATAATTGGGGGTATACCCCATTTTCAGACATACCCTTATTGTGACTTCACTATGGTTTTCCTATTTCCCAGGGCACGGACTTCGACGTCAAGGGTCAAAACCATATCGCAGGTTCCACCGCAAGAGGATGGGAAAAAAACTCACCCCGCCCCAACACATTGTCTGCCGAAAGGAATCACTTCTCAACCACCTCTTCCTGGACTGGAAATATCCATGGAATATTCCTACTCAGCAGTGCCGTATTCCACCCGGGTCATCTATCACGGAAATTCGATTCTTTGGCCGTCAACTTGATGGTTCCTCCAAAACAAACCATCTGGGCTTTCGGTCGCTTTGAATGCTCCAGACTCCATGTCCCGTGTCACTTGGCATTGGCTTCAACCAACTGGTTGGAATATTGATACAGTGAATTATGAGTGCTACTTGGTGGTTTAACCATGTTTAACCCAAACTGAGTAGTCTGATGATTCCCAATTCATCCCAATTCCCAATAGATTGGCTAGAGTAACCTCCAACCATCAACCAACGCTTTTGCAGCTGCTCAATTGGTAGGTTGATACTCCAGAGTCAGACGGAGATGATAAAGATTGATTTCATGGAGATGAGAGAGGAAAAAAAGAGTGATAGAGAGAGGTCTGACACATTGATGACTTCAGTAGAGTCAAGTTGGATAGAGATACGTCGTAGGTTTTGTAGAGATGGCTTTGAAAGTTGGATTAGAAGGGATTACTGTTGGATGGAGATAGGTTTCACGGAGATGGGTGAGTTTGATGCCGATAAGTTTGAGACTTAAGTATGATAGGAATAGGTGGCTGGCAAATATAGCTTGGATAGTTGTGATAGAGGTAGGTTTGATGGATGAAACATTTGAAATATCCTATTATTGTTGAAATTCTCATTATATATCATAATTAATTACTGTTGGTGATATTCCCAAAATTTATAAGTTTGATAGATAAAAAGTGATCCCCTTCGGTTTTGTCTGTTGGCTTCCCTTCGCGACCAGTTCGATACATTCACAGTGAAATATTATGACATATTCGGCATAACCAATTTGGTTACATCCAATTTCATAAATAATTTGGCTGCATCCTATACACCCAAGTGTATCCAATTATACTTATATCATGTTGTATCTACCACAAAAACCCGTGACTTATCTACCGCCAATCCATAATTGGTAAGGCCTGGAAAAAGCCTTACCATCAGCTTCGGAGCCCCAGCCTGGAGACTTTGACCAGAATTTTTCCGGCAGATGTGAGGCTTCCGAACGCAAGCTGCTTAGATTATATATGACTAAAATCCATGGGAATATGATCGGAATATCATCGGAATCATCAAGCAACAGAGGTTTCGAACACTGCTCAATTTGGGTATGTCTGAAAATGACTCAAAGGATGAGATATTTCATGAGAAAATGATGATTTAAAAAAATGGGATAATATTGGGACATAATGGAATATATCGCTTAAAACAATATTAGATTTAGATAGATTTAGGTGTCTCTGAAAAGAGCATCATCAAAAGAGCATATGCCCTAAACATTGCATTTTAATGGAGAAATGATGATAAACCACTGGATGTAGGGGTACCCGGGGTACCCGGGGTACCCGACACTTTTCGGACAAACCCAC